GAATGATCAATTTCGAAGAAAAGTGGTGAAAATGAAGACAGCACCTTGATTACTTTGGATTTTATTCCATTTATTTTTATCAAAAAGTGGCTTTAACACAAGGAAGGGACTACCACCGAAGGGGTTACCACCGAAAAACTTTCTTTGCTACCAAGAGCTGGTAAAAAAACCCTCAAAATTTCTTCTTTCCTACCATTTCTTTTAATCAAGAAACCAACGTTTGGCACAATACATTTATTTTTCTGGATTGTATACTTAAAAAGAGGGTTTCCAGGTAAACAAAAAGATCGGAATAATAGCTAATATATATGTACATACATATAAAACACCAAAAAAAGATGTATGCTTTTAACCCACCCACCGACCCACCTACCGACATGTATTTCGACCTGAATCTGAGGTCCGTCACCCTTAAAGTGAATTGTGAAAAACCGAAAAAAATGGCAAAACCACCCCCTGTGCGCTGGATCCGCCACTGAGTTGGACCAATTTGGCAAGCCTGCTCACAGTGCGGACAAAGTGACAGACAACAAGCCAGAGATGTTTTCTGCTTTGTGAGCAAAGCAACCTACCAAAATTTTAAGCGTCGTACCATCCTACCAACGAGAAAAAAAAACCTACCAATTTTGGTAGGAAAAAGCTGAACGGCAACACTGGATCCGATGCGTTGTGTTGTTAAGTAAAAAGCTGCTCTTTTGTGAATTGTTGATGAGAAATCGTAGTAAACATTGTGATGCCGCGAACACCAACGTTTTTTTTTTAATTTGGGTCCACTATCTCTACAATAATATGCTGACCTTGTAACGGACTTTTTCCTATTTCCGTCTAGCTTTTGTGTTCTGGTTGCATTTCTTGCATTTCCTCGAGTTTTATTTCCAATGGATCGCCTGCAAAGTCCTGGATCCCCGAACTCCTCCATTTTGTGCAGTTGAAAGTGCGCCTGCTTCGCCGTGCTCTGTTATAGTTCTAAGTGTCCTTTGAATTCTTAAAAAGGTTTTAAGTGTAATTGTAATAAATTTGATATTCACACAAGGATGTTACGCCTACTTGTGCCTATTCAAATGAATCAAAATAATAAGATAATGCTCGTGCAGTTTGATAAAAAGTGGAATAATATCCAAAGTAAGCAATCATGGTGTTTTCTTCATTTTCACCACTTTTCTTCGAAATTCATCATTCTTCCAAATCATGAGAACGAGGGTTTTCCGAGATGTGAGCTCAGATTTGAGGAAAAAAAATTATATCTATTCAAGTGAAGCGGAGTGTATGTAGGCATAGGCCCATATGTATATACATTACCAAGCTTATTGCGAATATTCGCATCCGCAACCGCGGAGATTCCGCTTTAATTTTAACATTCGCATTCGCAATGCCGAGTTTTTGCGAATGCGAAACAAAAATTATAAATTGTAGCCATTATTTTTTGCCTGTGAAGATGCGACGTTAGGTCGTGTTAGCCGGGCGTCATCTACAAGCTAATTTATTTTGGTTTTGTAATAATTCTCAAATTCAGGAGGATTCAGCCGCCATAAAGTCCAGTAAAAAAAAACGACTAAATATAACTGAAAGTTCTCTCAACTGGTGGAGTGTCTATCGTAACGAATTCAAAATATTGTCAAGTTTCGCACGCAGATATTTGTCGCCTCCACCAGCAAGTGTTCCGAGCGAGCAGTTATACATCGCATGCCACCCCACGCTATTAGAAAACATCGAGACTTCCTATCTCCCACAGAGACCCACAGGGTGGTCGGCGAATTATTGAGTGGTCGACAGTCGTCTCTAACCTTTCGAGATCGAGCATCAAAACCGAGGCGATTTAAGCAACTTAAACGTCTACCTCTTTGAACTTTCTTGCTTCTTCACTGCACGTAGCCTAACCCTCTCCTCAACGAAATAAACCGGCACCCTCTTCACTACCTGGTCGAAGGAGGCCAGGCTTCAAGTAGGCCAGTGATGCTCAGAGAGAGCTTTTACTCTATGCGCGCCCATATAAAATCTACAAAGTGATTCAAAGAGTTCCGCCCTCAGGCGCTGTTTTTCAGCATCACTGAACTAGGTATTGGCGTCGATGACATACCAATGCCGACGTTGAACAGAAAGCGGCGATATTGTAATCTTACGGGTTAAGTGCCTGGAGATGATGCGTTTTTCTGCAAGTTGAATAGATAATCTAATTATTTGGCTCTTCTACAAATAAAAATATTTATATCAAATATATTTTATGATAAAGGAAACCTCTAAAGAGCGAAATAATCAAAAATAATAAACACTAATCACCAAAAACATACGAAACCATTGCCAGTCAAGTCAACAAACAAATTCGTATCGTTGAACCAAGCGAACCAGTTGCGAAGCATGAACGCACACGAACGAACGAAACCGAACCATTCTAGGAACTTGCCATAGACGCCTTAGCAGGCGTTCAGAGCCACACAACAAGCGATTGACCTAAATTCGCCGCCACCGGCTGTATTGTACACTTTGCAGACAAGAAACAAAAAACGTGGAAATGAAAACTTATCTGCAGCAAGCAAATGTGCAACGCTATAGCAACAACAACAATACGTACATATGTACATAACAGCTGTTATATGAGTAGTAGGTAGTAAACAGGTAAATCTGTGGCAAATTTTTGCTGCATGTGTGTAAAACCTTTTTTATATCAACTTATTATTTATTTTGCTTTGCTCATTTTTGCATTCATTGGAATGTTGCAACATGTTCGAGTGAGACAAGCTGTATTTTCTTTGCAGTTATGGTGTATAACTGCAGAAAAGTTAATTTCTGTTGAAGTTGAAGTCTTTTTGCGATGCAGTAGCGATCGACTTTGATGCCTAAATAGCACTGAAGTGATTAAATTATTTTCTTAGTTTGAGCTCGGTGGTAGGATTGCCAGATGTAACCCATTCGGGAGGAAATAGGGCTTCAACTTTTTGTCTGTCTTGCTGCGGTAGGTCCCCCATTTGAACTTTGACACAGATGTAAAAATAAGATTGGCAAACATATTTTGAAAAATGTAAGAAACAGTGCTAAATCAGTGTTGCCGTTTTCAAATTTCGCCTTAAATTTTATACACAGATTCTAATGGTATACATATATAACTCAATTTTTAACTGACTTCAATTTATCATCAATTCGTCGGAATATTTTGGTTAGTTTTTTATAGTTCATTCTTTAACCACACCCGTATAAATACAAGCTTAAAGGCAGTGTCACACGATTGGGTTTATTTTTTGCCGAAATTTCGGGCAAATCGTATGGCACTTGTGTGAATACCCAAATATTTTTCTTTATCCAAATCACGGAAAATAATTTGTTTAAATTTTTCAATAGAAGATTGCTGTATTGTACAAATCTTTTGACTAAAAAAAAATTGTCTAAATTTTTTTATTTTGTACCAATAGCCCAATGTAAAAATTTAAAAATCTGTACAAATGTACCAATCGAGTGACTTAAAAATTTATGCAATTAAAAGAAAAATCTACAAATTTTCGTAAAAATTTCGAGTTTTTTAATTAGATTCTGAGTATTAAATACCCTCTATCTGCAATTTTCACAAAAACTACTTTGTGATGTTAGAACCCATCTACACCTACAACACCGCCCACTTAAGCCTACATACATACATATGTGTATCTCGGTACCCGGTTTATCAATTTCTACCAAATTCGACACATTTACCAACCTTGGCGCAAAAAAAGCGATATGTTGAAAATTTATGAAATCGAACTAAGATTACCACCACTTAACATATAACGGTAAATTTCTGAAATACAAAAGCTCCGATATTTCAATAACAACAATCTCTCAACAAGACACAAGATTATTGATGTTTGTAAAATGGGCGTGGCATCACCCACTTATGAGACTACATAAGTGTATATCGATAACCGCCTTATCGACTTCCACCAAACTTGGTTCAGTTATTTCAACCATAACATATTATCGAAACTGTTTGACATCGGAAAAAATACACCTGCTTATCATGCAGCTTACTGAAGGGTGAAAAAACCGACATTTAATACATGCGCCGCATATACAAAAAGTTCGGTTTCGGCCACACTTGTACTTCTTTACCTGTTTCTTTCTCAGTTGTATCCCAAATCCACCAATTCGTTCTTAACGATACCCCTTTCGGCAATTTTAATCTGGCACCGCTTAATCGGGTAAAGCTCGAAAAAAAGTTACTTTCGCACGATTCCCGACTTCATCTCTATTGAATGTACTTCATCTGTGGATTTAATATTCTTTACTTGTTTTTTGAAAATCAGCAAATTCGGTCATTCATCCGTTTTTCACACTAAGCAATCAATAAAATACTTGCATTTTTAATTAAGTATGCGTACGCCCATGTGTGCATAGTAAATTTCTTATAAGAAAACAAAGAAATGGTTTTGTTTCAAAAATATTTAATTGTTTACATCTACGTCAATGGACTTTGTTGTAGGCAAAGGCCGTGTCTAGCACTATTTACATACAATGTAGTTGGTGTGAATTACTTTGCACTTTGTTTTATGATGATAAGCACATGTCTTTATAGCAGGGCTAAGCAGCGTTTGAAAGCGTTCAAGTTTTATTGGAAAATTATTAATAAACAGAGTACCCATTGTTTTAAGGACGATTAGCACTCATAAAGGTGCTAATACTTAGGAAAAGGCATTCTGAATAAAAAGTTTGAAATTTTGAACAAAATTTTTTGAAGTTTGATAAATATTTGTTAACTTTGTGCAAGCTTGCTTAAAGGGCGGTTATGGCTTTCGTGGATCGCTCCGTAAGCTTCCGATTCTAGTCCAACTTTCTGTCAAAAATTATAACGAGGTATAGCACCATTAAGAGAGGGAGTCGATATTCTGCACTCTCAGCAAAATTGTGTTTACTGTAAGACTGTAAGACAACTGCCCTCTCGTTGCATACCGGGTATATATTTTTTCTATACATATTGTATTTTACATTTTTTTAATAATAAATTACAAAAATAAATATACACTCAATTGATAGTCTCAATGCCTCGCTCCGCGCGAACGTCTACCCAGCTGTATTAACTCAGAGCCGCTGTAGACATACCGCGGCGCATTCGCATCTTCCCGCACATGTCGACGCTTATGTGGCATGGCATAACGTAATTTGCTCCAGAACCAAGGATCGTCCCACTGCAAGTAGGTATTCATCTTCAAGTAGGCGCGCAGCTCTGTATCGAGCGCATCCATATTCACCACTTCACTATACATAATAATAATGATGCGCGCGCGTCGCTCATCCAAGGCGCTCTGATGTGCAGTGCGGAATTCCATGCGCGCCCACGGCGATTCGATAAAATGCTGCGAGAGCACAATTATTGTGCGGCGCGATTGTTCCACAGATTCGACGATTTGTTCAGGTATATAAGCGCCCGCAAGCCAATTGCGTTCATGCGTACACACGCGAAATGGTATGTCGCCCTGTTCCAGACCCGGCAACAGCTCTTGTTTGACGAAACGCTCATCTTTGTGCGAATATGAGATGAACGCATCGAAGACTTTGTCCTTGTCCAACTCGTGCTCGGTGACACACCAAAGGCAGGCGTTATGCGCGTACAGCCATACATTTACTTCCAGCTGATATTTGAAGTAGAACGCGCTGGTGATAGCTAGCAGCAAACCTGTGGCTAGCAGGCTTATGCTGGCGAAAAGTGCTGTCATATCTGTAGGACAAATATCGCTGAAGGCTAGCTCAAGTATTTTTGGATACTGCGGATCGGCGCAGCTGAGCGCATCCAGATCGCGTATGCGGTTGTGATGCACCTTGGCGGCGATCAACAACTGTTCGGTGTCACAGTCGCACGCCCATGGATTTTGTGACAAATACAGCGTAGCCAGCGTTTGTGTGCGATTGAGTAGTATGTAGAAACTGTTGTTGAGACGCGCCAAGCGGTTAGCGCGCACGTCAAGGTGTGTGAGCTGCACAGGCAGCTGTGCCGCTTCAATGCTGCTGAGCTGGTTGTAGGCCGCGTATATGCGCGTCACTTTCACATAACCGGCGGTTGAGTTCAGCGGAAGCGCGCGGATTTCGTTGTGAGTAACATGCAACTCGATTGCCGCAAGCGTTGTCTTGGAGAGCGATGGTAGCGCAGGAACACTTTTCAGCCGCGTTTGCGTGCAGTTTACGATTAGCGTAGCGTCGTGAGGGCGCGCCCAGCAGCGACAGCGCTCGGGACAAAAGGCTGCGACTACAGGACACAAAAGCTCGCTGGGCTGCAGCGTATCAACAAGGCGGCCTCGTAGCTTAGCTGGTGACGCGCAGCTCAGATTGGTGGTGTTCAGTTGCGTCTGCACGCTGAGAAAGCGCCGATGACTCTGCAGCACAAAGTCCAATAGCTGGCAATCGCAGTGCAGCGCATTCTCGTTAAGCGCTATGTTACTCTGGCATTTGAGTGCTGGCATGTCTTCCAAGCTGATGTTCAACTTCGATGGCAATATAATAGTTTGGAGCGCGTTATGCGATAGATCTACGCGCGCCCAACTGCATGCGAGCGCAACTAGCTCAGGCGCTCGCAGCGTTCCGATGCGATTGTGTGACAAATCAATGCGCCCCATTCTCCTTGGCGGCAGCTGTGCGCACAATTGTGTCAACGAGTTGTTGTGCAGCAGCAGTTCGCTTAGTTCTGTGAAGGAGACGAGCGTAGCACACATGTCCGCTGCTGATAACTCGATGCGATTGTGCTGCAAATGCAGGTACTGAAGCTCGGTATTGTTGGCGAAGGTGTGCGGATGCAAGTCGCGCAGTGCATTGTTGTTCAGATGCAACAGCTTGAGAAAGTTGAGCGGCGCAAGCAATTCGCTGGGTATGCTTTGCAATTGATTGTGCGACAAGCGGAGCTCCTGCAGGCGCTGTGTATGCGTAAATAATTCCGGCGATAGCGCTTGCAGCTGGTTTTCACTCAAATCGATGTAAACGAGCTTCGATTGATGCTCGAGCATATTGGCGGGCAGCGCACGCAAGCGATTTTCACTCAAATTGATGCGCAATAGCTCGTTGAGTGGCGCGAAGGTGTGCGCTGGTACTTGATCCAGCTGATTGCGTGGCAAGTGAAGCGACTGTAGCTTTGGCAAGTGCTGGAAATCAGCAGTCAGCAGACTCTGCAGCGCACCATCGCTGAAAACAACATTTAGGAGTCGATGCTGTGCGCGAAATGTTTCAAGCGACAGCCGTGAAATGTGCGCCTTTAGCGTAAGACCTATTAAATTGGGTAGCGACTGGAAAACCGCAGGCGGTAAGTGCAAGTAGGAAGCTTCGATTTCGAGGAATTTCAAACGCGCATAGTCCGCAAAAAGATCAGCTGCTAAGCGCGTGTAAGCAGTAAGCTTCAAGTTGTCCACCGGCAGCACAGTGGGTAGCTGTTGTCGTGTTAGATTTGCGTTTGTTGCCGTCGCGCCAGCGCTCAGCTCAAGCAACCTGGCTTTGCGTATGCTTAAGCGACGCAAAATTGTGTCGAAACCATTGGTGCAACCGCGTGTCGCCAGCAGCATTAAATCAGGTCCGACAGGCAGTGAGGGCAACGCGGTAGCGAGCGCTTCGCCATCAGCCTCTTGCGCCTTGCCTTGGCAGGTCACTTGCACCTGCGCGCTTCTGTAAATGGCGATTGTTACTATGCCATCGCTGTTGTTGCTTGCACGCACTTTTAGCGGACAGACAATTTCCATGTCGACGTAGATATCACGTTTGCAGCTACAATTCGTCTCCACTTGCAACTGATCGCATTGCGGATAGGTGATTACAGCGGCAGAGAATCGGTAGTGTAAAGCAAGTGAGAAGGTTAGAATTTTTATGAAGTGTAAGTGGAACCGATTCATATCCAATCTTCTCTTATTTGAACGCGCTAACACATTAGCATAGTTAAACGAATAGTTAACGACTAAATTTAAAATCAGCGCGGCTGTTTTATGGGTGCTGTATTTTAGCAGAAAAGTTCACGAAACTTAACAAGTGAGTCCATTGTTTTTGTAGAGCAGTGTGTAAATTGAGTATTTTTACTGAATTAATTAGAAATCATTTAATGAAAATAAACTGACGTCTTATGTCTAGCGCTTTGATACTTACATTAACGTAGAAATCTGATTCTATCCCTAGTCTCCATTGATTAAGAGATAAAAAAGGCATCAGAATCAACGAAGAGAGTGAACAATTATTCCGCCACGTGAAACTTACAGTCGTGAACTTACTGCTTGTCTCCTAATTCGGTATACGAGGCGAGCAGTATGCTCACGTTTATTATAATCCGAAATATGCATTTTTACGTGACGAGTTTCCCATTTACGACTATTACGATTCGAGTCCTGGTATTGAACCAACCAATGTAGTCAGTGCTCAATTTTATGTCAGCTTTTCTTCCATAAAAACCGGCCCATTTTTAGTTCATGCGGTATATAAATAGCTGCATGCTCGAAATTGTTTGGCTCCCATTGTGTTCCTCTGTTATTGAGTTCCCTGAGTCAGAGTGTGCTCTTTGCGACCGTACCATGGACAAAAATATGCAGCGGTAGCAGTTAAATATCATGCTAAGTCCCTCCTGAGTTGCGCTACGCACCACTCCTGCTATGATGAGGCACGCGAGTCTTTGCCTTTTCAGAATTACTTTCCTATTATTCCTCTTGTCAAGAGCTTTTCCCCAAACTAAAGCCTCACGGGTTGCAATTGGTCTTATGACTGTGGTGAACATACTATAGGTCATGCAAGGTGACAGTCCAAATTGCTTTCCAAAAGTCCTTTTGCACTTGCACTCGTAGTAACCTGCTAGACCATGCTCTGCCATCTCCTCCACATCTCTTTACCAGTTAAGTTTGGAATAAACAATGATACCGAGGTATTTAGCCCGGGAAAAGGGATTCGAAGTAGTTTGATGAGTTTATGAAACTGTCGCTTTAAATATCTCCAGAATTTCGTTCATCACTAAGAGTCAGAGGAGAGGCCATAGGACACTCCCTGAGGCCTGCCCCTCGTAGTTGTCATTCTCACAAAATACTGTATCGAAAAAGTGCCCTTCTTACTGCTTCCGGCCATACATTGCAGGAAGCGCCTTAAATCTCCATAAAGACAACCTGGGGGTATTTGTTGAGTTCCAACGATTTTTCAATAGTACCCACCACTTTGTGAGGCGAATTTTTTAACAGATCTACTTTTACGGTATGTTTGTTGTGCTATATCCATCGTGTGGACGCCAATACTTTTCCTTATGTGCGGATCGATTGTTCTTTCAAGTGCTTTTAAGATGAACGATGAAAGACTTATTTCGGCCTGAAGTCGTTTGGGGATGAATATAATCTACACCTCTCTCCGTACCTTTAAATGGATCGAAATACCTGACTGCCACCTTCTTCCTATCTTTAATACATGAGACCTCTCCTTTTGGAATACCTGACCGTTTTGCCGCTTGGTTAGTACCAATTTGGTCCGCCATGGCCGGAAAGTGGATTTCTATCAAATACTCATGCGACTTCTATCTAGAGACCGCCCCAGAGTCATCTGACTTCGAATTACTACTGAGTCACATCGGCTACATTTAGTCTTGTTAAATGGTTTCCGGGTTGTCGACACATGGGGCAACTTACCCAGTTCTGCCGTCCACCATACCGACTTGGGTTTGGCTCGTTAGTTCATAATTGGATGTAAACTTTGGTCAAGGAGTCCTCTAGCTTCTAATTAATGTTTCGATCTCAATAATGATGAAGGAATTGGGATCTCGAATGCCATCCATATTCTTAACCATTTCATATGATCAAAGAGTGTAGAGATTATTTATCTGACACTAATATTGAAAATTGATCTCATCTAGTCGGGAATATCTACATTACAAATATAAAGCAAAGTCGATATCTATGATCTGAGAGTCGCCTTTTCTACCTCGACTTTGCCTAAAATTAAGTTATGGCTCTAAACTGTAATCCGCAAAGTTTTATACGCTTAGGAAATTGAAGGATAGGTTAGGTTAGGTTAGGTTAATCTAGAGCTCTGAGAAGAGTTCACTCGGAGGCAACAAAGACCCACTGCAATGCCCGGAAGGGATGGGGGGGAGGGGTTCCCCATGCCTATCCCTACATGTCTGTGAACCATTTTGATTCTCTGGCGAATCTCAACAGTCCTTCCAGTGGAGCTATCCCTAAGGTATCCAGGCTCTCGAAGAAATGGTCCCCAAGAAACTTGAGGCATTTTCCTCAGAGTGCTGGACACTAACAGAGGAAGTGATGGACGGATTCTACCTCCTCCTCATCTCTACAGATTCTACAGAAATCGTTATGCGGTGCTCCGAACCTGGCGGTCATATGGCATATGGTCCAGTGCCCGTTAGTATTCCTGTGAGAAGCTTAACGGTGGGCTTTGACAGCCTTAATAAACTGCTTGTTATTCCTTCGTCGAGCCGTGGCCAGAGTGAGCGCTATAACATGCAGATTTTCCCACCTGCTGTTGGTGGCTGCCTTGGTCAGTCTCTCGACTTCCGAAAACAGAAATCGCAGGGGGGTTTCACGAACTGGATCGCTTCCCCAAGCCCCATTTCAGATCCCTTTCTAGCACATTCGTCCGCTTCCTAATTTCCTGGGGCACCATTGTGACCCGGGACCCAGTAGAGGTTGATTATGTGTTACTGAAGAGCTTGTAGAGATCTTCGGATATTAGTCGTCTCCGACCCTAACGCTTTGATAGCTGCCTGACTGTCAACGACGAAGGCAAATTTAGATGGAGCTAGGTCGATCATGCTCAACAGCCTCGCCGCCATATCGATTGCAAATATCTCAGCCTGAAAAACACTGCAGTGATCCGGAAGTCCGTAAGACTCTCTCAGAGATAACTCATGAGAAAGTGAAAATGGGTATTTCGTCATCGCTAAGAGCATGTCACTAATGTCTGGAAAAGGATAAGTAGTGGTGTTTGTCAGTTTAGGCTTCACTAGGTAAATTGATTCAAAAAACGAGAGAATGTATGAAGAAGGCAAGATGAATTTGTGAGCCTACTGATGGCAGAATACTTGTACAAAGTTTTCAGTTAAGCTTCTAGATACTCCTTCTTCGACTTCTCTGACACTACAACCGTTTAATGGTTCCCGCCGAGATCCAAAAGCTTCACTAATAGTATGTCTACTTTGCGAAGTTCCAACGTTTGTTTATCGTAAATTTAGACAGTTCCATCTGCACTTGATCCACTCATTGTGCTCATTGGCGTCCGTGCTTTCGTCGTCCACCCAGAGGTGTCGAGTTGAAGCATTTTTTCTTCCAGGGAATAGTGGTCTTGAACGTGGCTTTTAATTTTTGTATGGCATCCTCATAGTGAAAATGCTGTCGACATTAGCGTGGTCACTAAGGCTGAGCCATATACAAATCTATGTACTTTGACATGCGATCCTTTAGCAAAGCTTAGTAGCCACGGAATGAGTGGGAAAGTCGTGTGCACAGCAGAAGGCATGACCGAATATTTCTGCTATTGTGAGGCATTGGCCTGCGATCCCGACTTTTGAGAGTTCTCTGCCTATTTCTCAGGACGTCGACCAGGAACGCCGCTTTTCATATTACTTCTCGCTAGTCATTTTTCTAAATCGGTCAATTCAGTTTTCTACTTATAAGCCAGTTGCTAATCATATTAGCAGTCGTATCGGAAACAGCTGCTCCTTAGTAATGTTCTCAGCCACAAAACCAAAGCGATGTCATGAGCACATCCAATTACTTATCTAGAATACTTTTGGAATCGGCGGAAGAATTAAACCATCGTAGGCCATTATTCTTAAAAGCAGGGCAAGGAGGGAACTTTGTGGTGATCTTCCGATGAGGTTATAGTTTTAATCTGATTTTTTCACCATTGCATAGGAGATACCATTTGAAAGAGATCTTAGTATACCAGAATTTTTTTTTAATTTTTAAATCGGATTTAATTCTAACCCATATTTGTTTTATTTTATCAGTACTTCTCGGTCCGTAACACTCTTGGCTTGTACTTTATTCTTTCCTGTTTTCTTTTTTTTTCAATTTAGAATTTCTTACATTTTGTATTTTCACTTTCAACTTAATGCAAAGCAATCGAAAGCCATTAAACACTTGAAAAATGGCTGAATGATTTGTAAGCAACAATCGAGTGTGTGCACAAGCAGCGATGTCGATGTAGCTGTGCAGCAAAGAAACAAAGTCCCCACCATTAACCATTGTTTCGTCCAATGGCGCAGCCAATGGCTGCAGTAGACTCGAGTACCCACTTGTCCTTGGTAATTGTGCTCAGCTCAGCAATGGTATTGCAGCATAGTGAATGGACGAATGTTAACATTTTAAAAGCGCCTACGCTATTGCTTTGCATTGCACCTTAAGCAAATTGTAATGCTGTTAAATAAATACAAATGCAATCGCGGTGGTAAAATGAAATGGGGAAAAGGTTGATGGTTGAATTTTTCAATAAAATTATGTTGAAAAATGATCCAATGTACTTATTAATAACACTGGATCACAAATTTTAATTTGGTTTTTTATTCTCCAGACGCCACTGTCCAATTTCTATGTAGAATTGCTCGGTGATTCCGAAAATCGTGTTAATTTTTTTTTTCTATAGATACGTTTTCGATATATTTGAAATTTACCGTTATTTAACTAAAAGTAAAAATTGGTTCCTTTTAATCATGTATATCTTACGAACCAGTTTAAAAATCTTAATATAAAATACGGCAATGTAGTGGTATTGTCACGAGCATCTTTCTCTTCGCACCGACCAAAACTCCTCAAATTCCCCCGGTTCTCTTTGCGACAAACTTTAGTCTAGCTGAAATTATCCTAGACAAAACTCTTGCACGCCTGCTTTGACAATTAGTTTCCGACAAGAGACT